AGAGAGAGAGAGAGAGAGAGAGAGAGAGAGAGAGAGAGAGAGAGAGAGAAGGTAGAGTCAAGGAGACACCATGTGGCTGCCAAAGGAGACAGATGCCAGAACTTTACCTGGTAAGTCATAGCCACATGGTGATACACAGAGGAAGAGAAATGGATTAATTTAAGATATAAGAATTAGCCAGGGGCTGGAGAGATGGCTCAGTGGTTAAGAGCATTGCCTGTTCTTCCAAAGGTCCTGAGTTCAATTCCCAGCAACCACATGGTGGCTCACAACCATCTGAAATGAGATCTGGTGCCCTCTTCTGGCCTGCAGGCAGACACACAGACAGAATATTGTATACATAATAAATAAATAAATAAATAAAATTCTGGCCTGCAGGCAGACACACAGACAGAATATTGTATACATAATAAATAAATAAATAAATGAATGAATGAATGAATACTAAAAAAAGAATTAGCCAGGAATATGCCTAAGCTATTGGACACGCAGTGTTGCAATTAATACAGTTTCTGTGTGATTGATTATTCCGGTCTGAGTGGCTGAGAAATGAACAGGCAGCCTCTGCCTATAGAGTCTGAACAGAAAAAACCATACAGGGTTCCAGCACTAAGAGGAGAAGTGGACATGAGCCCCCAACCCTAACCCAGAAGTTATCTTCAAGTGTGGAGTCTCACTGGGTATACAAATCACACTTAAAGGAGGCCCCATAACCAGTATTAGATGGACAATATGTAACAAATGACTTTTTGTCTCATAATGCTTTATTTTAGGCACTTTTTAACTTTACTGGTCTTCGCTTGTATATCAGAGGTTTTGATTTTGTATTTCTATGGAGGATGGGTGTATTTGTGTAGGGGTGGGCATGTTTCCCATGCATCTTTATTTTCATTTGTTTTATTTTACTCTGGTTTGTCTGATTATTTTTTAGACAGAAAAAGAGAGAGGTTATGGAGTTGAATGGATGGGCAGGTGGGTAATGATCTAGAAGAAGATGAGAGAGGGGAACTTTTATCAGAGTATATTTTATGGAAAAAAATTACAACTAAAATATTGGGGAAAATCACATGTAATACTTGCCTTAATATTTTCCTAATATACCATATAAAAAGTTCAATATAATGAAACATACTAAGATTAGAGTTCTTTAACATGCACATCACTGTTAGTTACGGATCAGGTGCTCACAATGCAAAGGTTTGCTAGCGCTCCATCTTACCTTAGATGTCATTCTCATGAAGAGTCTGTTTTGATCAATATCTGTTCCCATCTTCTCATTTCTGACTAAATCTTTGAGACTCAGATGATCATCATCAGGAAAGTATCGGATCCTTTCTTTATCCTCATGGGTTGAAACCTAAAGCAAAAGGAACATAATAAAGTCTCGGCAGATGTTTTGAATGAATTATCCATAAATCTGGTAATAAATGTTAAAAAAAATTCCACCACATATCACAACTGTCTGTTCCACATGAAAGAAAGTCCAACAGAATTATACTTTGTATTTCTTCCCTTTCTTGTCTTTCTTCCCAGGAGGGAGCAATCATTAGCTGACTGCCAAGTTTGGCCAAAGATTACAACTGTCCTGTCCCCTCTCCTGCTCTTCATGATGACAACTGTCCTGTCCCCTCTCTCCAGTTCTCCATGATGACAACT